TTAAGGAACTTTGTCATGCAGTACTAAAGCAATAAGCCCAAGGAAGCTATGGTTTACATTGAACACAGAGCAGCTAAGGGGTGTGCGGTGCAGAGTGCCTAAAACCTGGCTTTTGGCTTCACAAGACGTTAACTGATGGACTGGAGCTGTGTGGATTACTGGTGGATTATTGTGATATTTTTATCAGCTGTCTGGACTCTCATTCTGACGGCACCCATTCACTGCAGAGCATCCATTGGATTATGTTGATAGTTAATGTGATTCTCTACACCTGTAGTTACTCTGCTGGACACCTGTGTGAATCAGGAGAACTGATTTCATACATCCACTAAAAGTTATCGCAAAAAAAAGGGATGTGTATTCTGAGAAAATCTCATGCAGCATTTATTTGTAGATGCCATATATAATGCAATCACATTCATGCATTTTAAAGTCAACTTGTGTCCACTACGCAGATAAAATACATGACGAGTTATTTATACAACTCCAGAAAGATCATTCAGAATCTCTACAGATACAAAAGAAAAACTGAACAGCCTGCTTCTTCTCTCTAAGATGTTAACAGTTCAACCGGACGTCCTGAAGCGTAGGCATCATTCACCACAGTGGAGCTCTTCTCAACATCCCCTCCCAGCAATACGACTCAGCCATCTGAAACCAATGAAAGGTGAACAGATCAGTGTCTCGCACTTATAATTACAATATTATGGCAAATAATATTCACATGACATTCCCTTATAATTGACACCTATATTAAATAGATTACATTGTTGATGTAGATTAGTTAGTAATGATTATTTTGATGATGGTCACACAGCTACATATGAGGAATAACATTTTACCTGCATTCGTTTGTGAAGAAATACCAGCTTTTGATTCAGTAACTCAATGTCCTGCAATTAAAAGCATGAAATTATCCTGTTTCAACAGGAAAAACCTCAAAGCAGGAAAGAAAACGGAGTTAAATATAACATCAGATCAGAAGTTCACCTTTGTCATATTTTCATGGTGTTTTAGCTTGATTTGAGGCAACAGTTCTTCTAATCGTTCAATCTGAAATAAGAGCAGACACAAGACAGCAATGTTCATACTTGGTCATTGAGGGAGTTTTAAACTGTGAATTTGTTTTACATTTAAAGAAGCAGTTTGAGTATCGGAGACTATGGGCTGAGTCAAATGTTCTCACCCTTTTCAGTCTCGACTTCAAGGTTTTATTAATAACAGTCGCGGGAATACTTCTGGGTCTTGGATTGACTATATTCATAAAGAAAAATAATGTCATGATTTGATGATGTAATAAAGCCGGGGGCGGGGGAATCTATATTATAAAAGCCCACACAAGTTGTCATACCGTGCTGGTAGTTTTTGGCCACTTCAAGGATGTACGGCCTTGGCACAAAGAACAAGAACAATTGAACAAATTTAAAAGTAGTCAATCCTCAAAATATGACTAAGAAAGGATAACATAATAAACAGAAAGAAATGACCATGGACAGACATTAAAGGAATAGTTGACCCAAAAAATTTAATTTGATGAATATTTACTTACCCTGAAGTCATCTAAGATGTAGATGAGTTTGTTTCTTCATGGGAATGGATTTGTAGAAATGTAGCATTGCATCACTTGCTCAGCAATGGATGCTCTGCAGTGAATGGGTGCCGTCAGAATGAGAGTCCAAACAGCTGATAAAAACATCACAATAATCCACAAGTAATCCACACCACTCCAGTCCATCAGTTAACATCTTCTGAAGCCAAAAGCTGTGTGTTTGTAAGAAACAAATCCATTTTAATCCATTGCTTTCAATCCTCTATAATATTGCTTTCTATAGTGGAAAAGTTGTCTCGTCTGAATCAGGAGAGAAATGTGCACAGATTAAGCACCGCTTGCAAGTGAAACAGTTCAAAACAAATATGTGAGTGGTTTTTGATATGAGAAGACAACAGGGGGCAACACTTTTTCACTGGAGGAAGCGTTATTATGGATTATGGACTCGTATTTTGGCCAGAAGCAAGTTTAACGTTGAATTGCCTTAATGACAAATTTATTACAAACACACAGCTTTTGGCTTCAGAAGATGTTAACTGATGGACTGGAGTGGTGTGGATTACTTGTGGATTATTGTAATGTTTTTATCAGCTGTTTGGACTCTCATTCTGACGGCACCCATTCACTGCAGAGCATCCACTTGTGAGCAACTGATGGAATGCTACATTTCTCCAGATATATTCCCATGAAGAAACAAACTCATCTACATCTTGTATGGCTTGAGGGTGAGTAAATTTATAGCAAATTTTCATTTTTGGGTGAACTATTCCTTTAACCAGGTCAAAAATGCAGTATGTCAGCCATTTATGTAAAATGTACTGTATTTCAGCATGTGTTTATTATGCGTTATTTACAGCTACTGCCATTTGATGATTTGAGAATTTAACATTTATGAATTAAATGTGAGAATTTATTTAAATTGATTAAATTCAGGTATCTGACATAAGAGTGTGACAAGCTTTAATATTTGTATTAAATAAATATGCTCTCATAAATGTAAAAAAAAAAGTCAAATGTTGGCCCATAATAACAGAAGGGTATTTCTGATGCTGCAAATTGCTTTTGATTGTCATTGTTGTCTAAAGCTGACACTCATACATGAATAGACCTTAGACCTTCGACACTGAGGAAGGTTGTTTAAACAGACTTGCTTACATTTGCTTGCTGTTTGGTGGCATGCAGCAATTTAATGGAATTAGACATCCTCGATTGTTTCGTATCTGGAAATTGATTTCAACATGATTCCGTTTATATAGATATAGAGCAAAGGTTTCAAACACCACAGGAAGGTTAAGAAAGTCAAAATACCTTAAGGATTATCTGAGAAGTGTCAAGCCTGAAAGAATGAGCTAGTATCTGTAAGGAAAGAGAATACTAATTTAATGCATATATTAAATCTCAACATCTAACCCAAGAACTAGTCAAAAACGCACTTGTCTTATGCTGGTTACTTTGGCTCCACTTGGAATGTGAACCTCCCGGAGAGCTGTGACCCTGTTATCTGTGAAATAACTGCTTGTGTCAGCACTCATAACATATGTTTTACATTTGAATGTGATTTGCATGTCAGCGCAAAATCGTGCAACAATTCTTCAAAGCCATAGGCAAAACAATACCATAACTGCCTTGTGCTGTCAGATGCACCTGTTGCTCTCTATCCATCACAGCTGATTTTAGAACAGTTGCCAAAAGGCAAAGCTAATTACTTTTCAGTAATTTAGGACACAAGAACTGGTTTTTCTCCTATTGTAAAAACAAAGATGGTTGCAAAACAGCAGACAAAAGAGATTCTACGGCAAACCTGTTCACGTTGCCATGGCAACCCCAGGATGCTACACTGCAGTTAACCAGCTGACCGCTGTTTAACTAAATGCAATTCAGACAGACTATTACAAAAATTCGACCAACCATTGAGATCAAGCCTCTTGAGGGCAATCCAAACCGTAGTATGAATGTTTTCAGCGTTGATAATGGCCATTGGAGCATCCACATACACCTCTCAGTCCAGGATCCAGGAGAGCTTGAGCCAGCTATAACCAGCAGTGTGAAGTCAGAAACCATAAAACGATAAAAAAAGCGTAATTTCACAATTAAAGTCAAAATTATAGTTAAGTGTGTGTGTGTGTATACATATATATTAAAAGGGTTAATTAATTACTATAACTCATGACGGGGGTCGTACAACTAGAATAGAGTACAGTTCTAAAATAAAACACAGAAGAACAGTACAAATTCAATAACAGCGTCCTGATGAGTTTTATGGATTATTTATGTATTGATCGCGTTGTTTGTGTTGTTAGAATATTATTTATGCTTTTAAGAGTTTTGTTCGAGTAAAGCAACATTTCAAGGTTTTGACGTGTACAAGCACATCATATTGTTCATGTTTTGTTTTTAATTTCTTGATTCAGCCGTTTAATCTGTACATATAATGCGATATATTTTTCCTAAAAAGGTTGTGTTTACTTATTTGTTCATTAATACCAAATTAATGTTACTGTAAGATATTGTAGTCCTTTTGCTGCCTAAAATGTTTGTTTATTAACACCAGTTTAAAGTTACTGTAAGTTATTGTAATCGTTTTGCTGGCTAACATGTTTGTTTATTAGCACCAGTTTAAAGTTACTGTAAGATATTGTAGTCCTTTTGCTGCCTAAAATGTCTGTTTATTAACACCAGTTTAAAGTTACTGTAAGATATTGTAGTCCTTTTGCTGCCTAAAATGTTTGTTTATTAACACCAGTTTAAAGTTACTGTAAGATATTGTAGTCCTTTTGCTGCCTAAAATGTTTGTTTATTAACACCAGTTTAAAGTTACTGTAAGATATTGTAGTCCTTTTGCTGCCTAAAATGTTTGTTTATTAACACCAGTTTAAAGTTACTGTAAGATAGAAATATATATATATATATATATGAATTTAATTGACATTAGAAATAATGTCTGTTCCTCACACCAGACTGACATTTGACTTTAGAAGACCTGGAATATAGTACATGAATTATATGGACTGCTTTTATGTTTGTTTGTTTTTAAAGCACCTCGGACATTCTGCTGCAGATCTCCTTTTGTGTTTCACAGAAAACAGAAAGGAATGAGTGAGAGGAAATTAAGACACAATTTTCATATTTCTATGAACCGTTCCTTTAATCCTGATGGAAAACGTCTTTAATAATTATTTTCCATCTGATCCAATATAACCCTTTTGGTTCTGTTCTGATCTGCTGCCACAATGTTCTTGAGAGTCATGACAAAATCCAATATTAATATCTTAAGCCAAGTCCCACCGTGCTTTCTCATTTCTCTTTTAGTTCTGACAATAGTTAATAATTGATGCCTCTGCAGTTGATATGTAGGGCATTTCATTTCCTGCAGCCTTCTCCTGGAAGAACGGCTCTCAGTTCAGCGCAAACATCTCCTCAACAGATGAACATGAGACTTGACTGATGTCTTTTTTTGTTCTTGTGTTTAATAATTAGTCTCAATGAACCACCTCTGATGACTGGCTGTTATGAGCCCAACCTAAAACTCAGACAGGCAGAGCGACTGTTTGAGGATCTGCTTATCGGCCCAGAATCCCTTGCTAACATTGGAGGTCAGTATTTACAATGCACTGCAGTCAAAGCGTGACCTCTCACCCAGTTTGTCCCAGCTGTTTGTCAGCGTGCACGGGGATAGGCTGCGGTTGCACCAGCCAAAATAGATGAAAGTTGAGTTGACTAGGAGTGTGTGATTGATTAGGTGTTTTTGTATTGCATGCTTGCACACTGTGATAGTATATAAGGAAGTATGACGATATAAAAATCTTAAAAACAGAAAGACTTAAAAGAAAACAAGAAAATGTAATAATTAAATATATATATATTTGGTATGCTTTAATGACAGCATGTAATGTTTCTGAATCATTCTTGTTTTGCAGATGTTTTATACACTGGGACGGCTGATGGAAAGATCGTCAAAATCGAGGGAAGGAGCATTCATGTATTAGCAACACTTGGCAAGCCACCATGTGGTAAGAAAACCACAGATACTGGACTATTTCCTCAAGAGCTGTGTAATGTGGGATTTCAACATGAGTGACCTCGGTGTTTGAAATGCTCGGGTTCATGGCTTTGTTGCACAAGACATGAAGCTTTGTAATTTTAGTAAACTATAATGTTAACATTTATAAAAGAAAATGCATAAATCTAGCAAATATATATTATTTATAGTATTTTTTGTATATTTTAATTTATAATATATAATAAGTTTCAGTAGTTTTTTTGTGCTTAATTTTGTTAAGTCATTTATGACTTTATATATATTTTTTATAATTGTTTATTATTTTTATTAATATTTTTTATTATCTTTTATTATTTATTGATATAATATATTTATTTATTTAGATTTATTTCACTGGTGCATTACATTAATGCATGTAAAGTGGACATGCATTAATGTAATGTAACATATTAAAGCCCTTCATCGAGATGTTTGAATGTTTTATGAAAGTATAGAGGCATTTGATACAGTGGATATGCTCCTTTCTTTTGCCTGGTTGTGTAGTAAACTGCTGACACAGTGGAAACAAACATAAAATGTGCTTAGAATTTTAATTGTTGACTAGCTCAAGCATTTTGCTCCATCAGACGCATTAAGTTATTTGACATCAGTTGATTTATATATTAATTGAGTTAACTTAATTTGCTGTAAAGTTGCTTTGCAACGATTTGTATCGTGAAAAGCGCTATACAAATAAACTTGAATGGAATTGAATTGTGTTGATTAGATATTCCAATAATTCCAATATCAAATGCTATTATCATTAGTGTTGAATATCCATCAAGTCACTTGTTTCCTGATTCAAAGGCTCTGGAGAGCATGAACACACTTGTGGACGTCCCCTGGGAATCCGTGTGGGGCCCAATGGCACTTTGCTTGTAGCCGATGCCTATTTGGGACTGTTTGAGGTCAATCCTGTCACAGGTAAGGAAAGGGAATCCACATATTCTGCCTTAAAATGGCAGTACTCATTTAAAGGAATAATTCATCCCAAAAAATACAAATTCTATGATTATTTATTCAGCCACATGTTCCAAACCTGTATGTAGTTATTTGGTTTTTCCCATGAAACACAAATGGAGGAATTGAGGCATTTTTACACCACTCTTACAACAATAGTTCATAGTGGCCGTGTTTGTCAAGCTCCAAAAAAAAACCCCACCGCTGTCACTTTTTGCCTTTTAGGTGAGGTGAAATCTCTGGTGAGCACAGGGAAGATGATCGGTGGTCGACGTCTGGGTTTTGTCAATGATCTGGATGTAACTCAGGATGGGAAAAAGGTGTACTTCACTGACTCCAGCAGCAGATGGCAGCGCAGAGACTTCATGCACCTGATCATGGAAGCCACGGCAGATGGACGGTAACTGGGACATGGCACATCTGATTTTCATGGGTTTTTGCACTTTACGCTTTTATTAGGTGGAAGATTGTGCATTGTGTGAATCACTGATTGTTTTCATAGGGGATGATGGTTTTGTACAGTGGCTGATGTTGCTCATGTGGTTGTTCCAGTGTGCTTGAGTATGATACGGAGAGCAAGGAAGTGACCGTGATGATGGAGAACCTGAGGTTTCCAAACGGCATCCAGCTCTTCCCTGATGAGGAGTCTGTTCTGGTGGCTGAAACCACAATGGCCAGAATAAGGAGGTGATGCTCACGAACTGCTCTTTGATTACTTTGGTCGTTGATTGTTCAGAAACTTGTATATTGTTATATACTTGTATATGATTCTACTGGAAACATGGGATGTTATTATCCCAAAACTAGAGCTACACTGGCAGTCAAAAGTTAGAAATAAGGTCTTTTTAATGTTTTTGACAGAAATTTCTTATGCTCACCAAAGCGGCATTTATTTGAACAGTAAAACAGTAATATTATGAAGTATTATTGCAATTTAAAAGAACTGTTTTCTATTTGAATATATTTTAAAATGTGATTTATTCCAGTGATGTAAAGCTGAATTTTCAGCATCATTACTCCAGTCTTCAGTGTCACATGATCCTTCAGAAATCATTTTAATATGCTGATTTGCTGCTCAAGAAACATTGTTTATTATTGTCACTGTTGAAAACAGTTGAAGCTTCATATTTTTTTGGAAACGGTGATGCATTTTCCATTGTCTTTGATGAATAAGTAGTTCAAAAGAACAGTATTTGAAATTTTAAACATTATAAATGTCCCTTTACTGTCACTTTTGATCAATTTAATGCATCCTTAAGAGTATTAATTACTTTTCTTTCTTTTTTAAAATCTTACTCAACTTTTGAATGGTAGTGGATCATGGTTTTCACACAAAAAAAAAAAATGCAGCACAACTGTTTTAAACATGGATATTGTTTCTTGAACAGCAAATCGGAATATTAAAATGATTTCTGAAGGATCATGTGACAGTGAAGACTGGAGTAATGATGCTCAAAATTCAGCTTTGATCACAGAAATAAATTACATTGTAAAATGTAATGCAAATAGAAAACTGTGTTCTAAAATTGTAATAATATTTCACAACATTACTGTTTTACTGTATTTTTAATCAAATAAATGCAGCCTCCGTGAGCGTAAGATCCACATCTTTGAGATGCTTATGTTTGCTTCTTAATACAAATGTGGCTAGTAAATAGCTGTGCATTTCTTTTCCATCTGTATTTCTGTAAACTCTGATCATCCAGTGTAATTTGAAACATTCTGTTCCTACCTTTGGGCTGATTTGTTATCAGGTCGGCTAGAACATCAGTTCTCCCGTCACTTCTTCATGGCCTCTCACAGCTGAATTCTTGAATCACGTAGTGCTCATTCACTGCTGCTTGATGGCTTATGTCTGCTCGAGGCACAGGCCGCTCTCCTTACCTGGATAAATGATGAGTGCATGCAGTTGCCAACGCAACAGGCTCCATCATTAAGCTTCCTGTGTGGAGAGATGCATAGCATGTTTCTCTTACTAAAGAGAGTGTGGTCTCAGTGCTGCAGAAGCTTTCATATTAATGCACTGTAACCCCGTGCTCATCTGGGATGGTCTGGTTAAATCAGGAGTTTTATGTTGAGTCTAGCTCTTCTCATAGATTAACTGAGGGGTTGCTGATGAATTGAAACACAATTGTTATGTTACTATTGGCTCCAATGTTAATAGTCTCAACAAAAAAAAAAGCTTAGCTGATATATCAGTCTGTCACTGCTCTTGTTCAGTGCTGCATATTGAATATGTGCTCTGTTCTCTTCACAGAGTTCATGTTTCTGGTCTCAATAAAGGAGGTATGGATACATTTATAGACAACCTCCCGGGATTTCCCGACAACATTCGGCGCAGTTCTTCAGGTGGATACTGGGTTGCCATGTCCGCTGTGCGACCCAGCCCTGGCTTCTCCATGCTTGACTTCCTGTCTCAAAGACCCTGGTTAAAGAAGCTCATATTTAAGGTATAATTATGAATGGTTATTATTTAAAAAAACATGTAATAACTTTTCAAATGACAAATATTTATAGATTATTATTTAAATCGTTTACACATTTTTAAAAATGTAACCGCAAAATAAATAAGTCACCTTAAGTAGAAAAAAATAGACATTTGTGCAGTAGATGTTTATTAAAAAGGTTCAATGTAACGGAAAAATACAAAAATCACTTTTCAAATTGACAAAAAAATGGAAATGTATACACAGTAGATGTTTATTTAAATTGTTTAATTTGATTTAAATGTAACAGTAAAATAAACCACATTTCAAAAAGACAAATAAATAGACATTTATAGCTGTTTATTTAAATATTTTAAAATGTAGTTAAATGTAACAGTAAAATAAATACATTTTTAATTAGACAGCTAAATAGGCATTTACAGCCATTTATTTAAATTCTTTAACAATGTAGTTAAATGTAAAGTTAAAATAATAAATCACTTCAAATGGACAAATAGATAGAAATTTGTAGCTGTTTATTGTAAATTGACAATTTATAGAGTAGATGTTTTTCAGTTGTTTAAAATAAATGTAACAGAAAAATAAATCACATTTCAAAAAGACAAATAGATAAACATTTGTACATCACTGGTTATTTAAATGGTTTAAAATATAGTTAAATTTAACAGTTACAAATCACTTTTCAAATTGACAAATGGACGTTTAAAACAAAAAAATTTAGTTTGATGTCACACGTTTTGTAATTTTGTTGCACTCCATCCAGCTGTTTTTTTTTCTTAATTCAAGAACAAGTCCAATGTGAACTCTTCTTAGGAAACAGTTGCCTTAGTTGTCTGACTATCCTAGTTGGTTTTGAAATTTTTTTTTTGTTGTTGTTGGTTTTTATATATATTACACATTCCTACTGTATATTCGGCTTGCCGCGATAGACGGTGCTGACGGTGATGTTAAGCCGCAAAACCGGTTACGTCACTTGCCCACCGCGGCACCGACCCCCACCATCGTTTAGATTTTTTATAGTAATAAAAATCATTTAGTTCAGTAAAAGAACAGACACTACATTTAAAAACTGAATGCGGCTGCTCAATGCAGCGTGCCAAACGACAGTCGCATCACAGATCAGATTTAATTTATCCAGTGAGGAGAGCGAGTCGAGCTGACTGACGAGAAGAGTGAGGTGAGACAGACAAGAGATCGCGGATGATTTAGTTTCGAAACGAAATGCAAAAGCGCCTGTTTGGCAGTATTTTGGAATATGAAAAGCCTGTTGACTTTTGCCGTTTATCTAAGGTGATTTTGGATTTTTTTTTTTTAAACATTCGTTTCTTATTTAATTGGTTCCACAGTGTTTGCTGATTTTTACTTTATTTAAACTTTGTGTAATTTATTTATTTTATTTGACATCAAGGTGTATGCCGTGCCTCTAAGCTTTCTTATTCGTTTTGCTAATAAACTATTTAAACTTTATGTAAGTTATTTGTTATTTTATATTAGGCATAGCCTGCCCTTTAGCATGGTGTATTTTTATTAGTTTTGCTAATAAAACTTCTATGTTTTATATATAGGCTAAAGTGAGTTTGACGTTGTATTTTGTTGTTGCATTCAAGCAATTGACGCCGAATTACCACTATTTGAAAGTGAAAGTAAAATGCGCACGCCGCTTTTACAAGCTATTTAAGAGCGAAGGAAAGCGAGGAAAAGAGGGAACACCCCTGCCACCGCGATGATACCGGTACTGTCGGTGTTGTCACACGTCGATTAACCGGTGGGAAAATGTCCTCACCGTCACAACCTTACTGTATATATGTATTTCTGAAATGGATATGCTTCTTCACGTTTTGTGTGTTTTCAGCTCTTCAGTCAAGATACTCTTTTGAAGTTTGTGCCACGCTATAGCCTGGTGGTAGAGCTGCAGGACGGTGGGATATGCGTGCGCAGCCTCCACGACCCACACGGCATGGTGGCGGCCTACATCAGCGAGGCACACGAGTACAATGGCCACCTGTACCTGGGCTCCTTCCGCTCGCCGTATCTGTGCAAGCTGGATCTGAGCAAAGTGTGAAACACGTCACGAACCTAACAGATGCTCCACTTGAGTCATTTCACCCTGGCTTCCAAACTAACAGATTTTGAAGCAATTAACATTGGCAAACATCAACAAGACTTATTAACATCTTTCATATTACAGTCAACCCAGTCCCTTCATTTGATCACCATTCTCTTCATTTAGCTCTGACAGACGCCTGTATTTTTGTTCCATTAACCCATGTGGGCGACTTCCTTTTTTTAGCATAATAAGCTCTCTGGCGGGCTGTTTTTTAAATCAAACGAAGTGCCATTACTATTTTTGTTTTTCCCCCTTGTGACAGAAATTATGCCGTTTCTGTAGTTGTATTATTTGCACCGACCGTCGTCTGGCCCTTAAAATAGAGCTGCCAAAAGTTTTTTTTAAAGGCGCTGTGATACAAAACAAGATGACTGGTAAAAAACAATAATAATTTCCGTTGGTGGCAGCATTGAGATGCTGTTTGTGGGAAGTGAAAGGGTATGTTAATGTCATTATAAAATGAATCTGCTGAAACATACCTCTATAATTATCTCTGGTTTAAAAAAATGCTCCAGTGTTTGAATGTTTTGGTTTATTTTTAATTGAGTGGTTGAAAGTATTAATTCCTTATTTTGTGCTTATGCGTCTTCATCACTGTTTGTATATGTTGCTGAAATGAGATCTGCGTCACTCTCGGCTGATAAATGATGCTGGCTTTGTAGTATTTAGCACACCTTTACACAAGTATCTTGTGTGTTTTCAGTTCATATTTATATGTTGTCTATAAGAGTGATCAGCAATAATATACTGTAACAGTGGTTCTCAAATGGTGAGCTGTGGCCCACTTGATTGGACAACAGTGAGGAAAAAAGAGCAATGCTAAATTAAAATAAATCAATCAATCTTGCGTAGATGGGAAAGCTAAATAAATTGGCTTAAAGGAATAGTTCACTGAAATTTACTGAAAATGTACTCACCTTCAGGACATCCAAAATGTAGATGAGTTTGTTTCTTCATCAGATTTGGAGAAATGTAGCATTCCATCACTTGCTCATCAATGGATGCTCTGCAGTGAATGGGTGCCATCAGAATGAGAGTCCAAACAGCTGATAAAAACATCACAATAATCCACAAGTAACCCACACAGCTCCAGTCCATCAGTTAACGTCTTGTGAAGAGTAAAGCTGCGTGTTTGTAAGAAACAAATCCATCAAGACGTTCGAACTTCAAATAATTGCTTCTAGCTAAAATAGTTCTTGATCTATAATATTGTTTTCGCCAATGAAAAAGTTGTCTGAATCAGGAGAGAAATGTGCACAGATCAAGCTTTTACAAACAAAAACAGTCCAAAAGTGGATTTTGATGACAGAGGACAAACAAGGAATGGACTTTTTCACTGGAAGAAGCCTTATTATGGATTATGGACCTGAAGTAATTTTGGCTAGAAACTATGGTTTGAAGTTACCTTGATGGATTTGTTTCATACAAACACACAGCTTTTCACTTCACAAGATGTTAACTGATGGACTGGAGTGGTGTGGATTACTTGTGGATTATTGTGATGTTTTTATCAGCTGTTTGGACTCTCATTCTGACGGCACCCATTCACTGCAGAGCATCCATTGCTGAGCAAGTGATGTAATGCTACATTTCTCCAAATCTGTTCTGATGAAGCTCCTCTACATCTTGGATGGCCTGAGGGTGAGTAAATTTTCTGTAGTTTAATGCTAGCAACAACAAAGTCGTGGGTTTGATGCCCAGGGAATGGAGTCAGTGTAAGTTGCATTGAATTAAAGCTTCTGACAAAAGTCATTTGGCATTAAAAATTGAGTGTCTTGAACTTGTGGTTTAATCTCAAACTAATTTGTTGTGAAAAAATTATGTTCTAAATAAAAATATATAATGTAACTAATGCTTAACTAACTAAAGTTCAGACTGTTTTGTTGTTTTATTAAACATTAACATATATATTCTAACAATTACATTTTCAGATGTACATCAATGACTGGTTTAATATCAATGCATTTAATTTTTTATTTTAAGGGCAATTTTGTCACTTTTGTATGATAATGCTTTGGTTGCTGAGTCGCTGCTTCATGTCCACTCTAAAATCTGGATTCTGAAACAAATCCAGCTGAGAACCACTGTCCCATTGGATGCATGTACCCACCTAATGGCCATATGGAGTTATGAATCTAGGACAAGTATGTCATGCACATTTCCAATAACACATAGTGAAAGAGTAGTCAATAAATCTGTTCATACAAACCCAACAGATGTGTGTTTGATCAGTGCTGGTGTCTTTCTAGGGCCAGTTTGCTCATAAGATCTGTGGTTTTAAGGAAAAGAGCTCAGAGATTGAAGCGATGGCCCCTGATCTACTGTAGGTGTGTAAAGCTGCCTCTACTTCAGAGAACCTCACTGAATAATTTACACTCCGAGTCAGTCAACACAAGCTCAGCATCTGATGAACTGAAGGTCACTGGACATCATAACCAGTCACTGCGCTGCACTATTCACTGTGGCTCATTTTATTTTCACATTCAGTTTGGTATTAAATTAGCACAACATTTCAGGTGGAGCCATTGAAAAACAATCTGATGAAAAAGATCTCAGAATATAAAATTTGAATGACATTTAAAATATGTAGTTGACATTTTGTTCATCCATGGAATGGACCATACGTCAAAGTGACAGAAGAATGTCTAGAAGATAAAAAAATAATAAAAATCATATTTATGAATGTTGATTTACAGCTTTAAAATACAGTTTAATATAGCCTATTTGTACTCATTAAGTCTGGTGATGACATTTTCTTATTTTACATTTCTTAGGGTTCTCAAAAACCGGAAAAGTTGGAAACTGTGATGCAAAGCTGAATTTTCATCAGCATCATTACTCCAGTCTTCAGTGTCACATGATCCTTCAGAAATCAGTCTAATATGCTGATTTGCTGCTCAATTATTATTGGTGCTCAATTGTTAATAAGCGTTCTTATTATTATCAATGTTGGAAACAGTTTTTGATTAATAAAACATTCAAAAGAACAGCATTTAGTTGACATAGAAACATTTAGTAGCATCATAAATATCTTTACTTTCACTTTTGATTAACTTAATGTATCGCTGCCGAATACAGTATACACTTATTCTAGGGGAAAAAAAAATTAATAAAATTGTGCCAAGCCCAAAATGGCTAAATGCTAAGCTTTTAATGATCTTAACCACAAATTACTGGTAAGGAACTTAGTAAGAATTAAGCAAATGCTCTCCTTAAAAAGCCATTGCTTCAGAAAAACAAAGACAGAATGAAGTTTTTGTCAAGAGTATGGGAGGTTTGATTCAGAGTTGTGTGGAGTGATGAATCATGATAAAACATGAGTTGCATGGTGATGCGCCAGAGCGGTGTCTTTGAAGATCTGCCGAGAAATACAATAATGAATGCATCTCAATCATGGAGGAAGATGTGTCATGATGTGAGGAGTCTTTCAGCTGCTGGTGCTGCTGAGCTGCTTCACTCTGAAAAGTCAATTAATGCTTTGGAGTATAAGAGAATATTGCAGAATTGCTTGCTTACCACAGTTGAAAAATTGTTATTAAAGAGAAACGATCAGATGTTATTTTTCAACAAGGAAATGCTCCTGACTGCACTGCACAGACAACCAAGAATTGGCTTGAGATCAAGTGCATCAGGCTCATGTTTTGGCCGGGTCAGAGTCCAGATTTGAACCCTAAAAATAGTCTCGCATTAAACTCTTGCTAACTGGGAGACATTTTTTAACTACTCATATTAAGTGGAACAACACTGACTATTCTTCCTGTAAAAAGTAGTCTGCAAGTTTAAACACACAGCTTATACATTTAAATACAACCAAGGTAGAAGCTATCATATACTAAGTTACTTTATCTACAGTATTTGTGCAATTCTTACTATTTTCCTGACCACTGATTTGTGGTTAAAATGGTAAAATGTGCAACATTAAAAGGTAAATATTTTGCCATTTTTGGCTTGTCTGTCTGTCTTTCTTTCTTTCTTTTTTTTTCTCGGGAATGTATATCCTTGCTGAAAACATGTATCATGTTTTCCAGAAAATTATTAAGCAGTAAATACTGTTTTCAACATTGATAATGAGAAATGTTTCTTGAGCATCAAATCAGCATATTAGAATGACTTCTGAAGGATCATGTGACACTGAAGACTGGAGTAATGATGCTGAAAATTCAGCTTTGCCATCACAGGAATAAATTACATTTGGAAATACAGTCAAACAGTCAAAAAACATCCAGTGAGATTTTTGTATGCACAAGGAGTCTTGACAACAGCCAGTGCTCCACACAGAGATCTGATCTCACCATCATCCAGTCCGTCTGCGATTACATGAAGAATCAGAAAAAAACAGACAGACTAAATCCAGAAGAACTGTGGCTCCAAGACACTTGAAGAAACCTTCCTGCAAATGCTGTAAAGTGAGGATGCTTTCAAAAATAAATTTAATTTACCAATGAACTTCTATTAACTCAATCAAATCAATATTTGGTGTGACCAACCTTTCCGTTTAAACCCGCTTTTTCTCCGAGGCACACTTGCGCATAATTTTGCAGGAAGGTTTCTTCAAGTATCTTGGAGATGTTGCCACAGTTCTTCTGGATGTAGTCTGTCTCAGTTTGCTCTGTGTCTTCATGTAATCACAGACGGACTGGATGATGGTGAGATCAGATCTCTGTGTGCAGCACTGGCTGTTGTCAGACTCCTTGTGCATACAAATCTTTTTGCATATCTCTCTCTTTCTTATGCTTTGTTCTACAATATTTAAGTAACTAGAAATTGCTCTCAGTGTGTGAAATCTTTCAAATCTTTATCTTTATGCAGTATACACAAATCAGAACACTTTATTTTGGCTTTACAGAGTTACTTCAGAACCAGAAAGCCATTTTAACTTCTCTGGCTCCATAGAAAAGCACTCATACCTGCCGTAACAGACTGTCTGTCTGGAAGGAGCAGTTGTTGAGGTCATCAGTGTTGCCCCTCTTCCTGCACATGGTCCGTGAGATCTCCACTTCCAGAATGTAGCGGATGCCTTTGACTATCTATAGCAGACCAGAGACCGGATGACGTATGTATATACACACACACACACACACACACACACACAGTGAGACGTATGGGCATCTTGAGTTATACCTGTCTCTTTGCATCATCAACAGCTGATGCTTTGAAGAGGAACGCGTCGTTGGATTTATTATTAAATGAGTAGGTTCCAGTCAGGACGGCCTCCTTCACCCCAGTGTCATTCTTGCTGACGTTCTCTAGATTTCCTGGGATTGGTCTGCTGACAAATGCGTGAACTGGAACTTTCTCTGAAGTGAAAGAAGAAAAATGTAAACGTTAGCCATTTTTGCACAGGTCTTTATACAGACAGCAAATGAACATCCAATTCTGAACTGCTCGATTGAACAGACTATAGCCGTTTAAGTGACCATATAATACATCCTTACAAGAAAACACACAAAAGTAAACAAACATCTTTATCTACAAAAAAAGAATTAATGGAAAACTCGTCTTACCGAGTGAGCATAAGCCTGCTAAGAAAAGCAAGACTAGAGCCTGATAAGAGACCCTCATGTCTGTTAAAGTTCTCTCAATTCTACTCAGCAACTTCCTGTTCAGCAACACTTCAACCACCAACCGTGTGCTGCAGTCCTCTAGAGAGCAGGCACATTTCCCATTGGTCAACAGTATTGTTTCCTACATGGACTCTAAAAGGCCTTTACACAGGAACACAGGTGAAGTCAATTGACTGCTGATTACTGCTCGAGTACAATGTGATGTTCCTTAAAGATGCTGCAAAACTTGGGATATTTTTTTAGTTTTGATAGTTCCAAATAGTTACACGTGCATGTAGATGTTGAGGGTGTGCTTCTATAAATATCAAACTTTGTCGAGACCACCGAAATCAACAAGAACAAAGAACTGAATCCTTCCTCAGACTGAACTGAAAGAGGCTGTGTGTGTTGAAGTGCTTTGAAAGACGCAAGTGAACTCCTGTGGTTTCCTCCCACATCCGGTGATGAAATTCGCTGAAAAGAATACACGCTTACATGTGAGTAATGCATAAGAATGATGATTTATTGGCTGAGCAGAGCAAAACTGTGTTGATTTGTGCTAGATCAGAGATCAGCATCTCTGCAGTCAATATTCTTAAAGTCAAAATGAAACTGCATTTGCAACCCATTTTTTGTCAAGTCACCTTTATTTATATAGCGCTTTATACAATACAGATTGTGTCAAAGCAGCTTTTCAGTGTTAAACAGGAAAAACGTGTACTGATAATGCAAGAGGACAATAGAAATCAGTCAGTTTATCAGTTAAAATCAGTTCATTGTTGATTCAGTGATGTCATCATCCAGCTCAGTTCAGTTCTCTTCAAATAGTGTCTGTGCAGTCAAGTCAACAATGCTGCTAGAAATTGTGTCCCCAACTAAGCAAGCCAAAGGAGACAGTGGCAAGGAACCAAAACTCCATTGGTGACAGAAATGGAGAAAAAAACCTTGGTAGAAACCAGGCTCAGTTCTCCTCTGGCCAGACGAAACCAGCATGGTCTGGTTTAATTCCAGAAATCAGATTGAGCAGACGACTCGTCTGGTTCTTGTGGTCTTGTGCCAATGGTCGTCGAGGTGATGAGGTCTTCAGAAGGGATCTGTTACTCATCAAGTTGACATGGTCTCCGCTGACATTCAGGACTGTAGAGGTCGTCTATAGGTACTGATCCACCTTCTGGACTGGATACAGACTGGATCCAGGTGACTGCAGTGATCATCTGATTTGGATACGGACTGGATCCGTATGGCTATGGTGACCTCAGAATAAGAATAAAACAGACTAATTCGCGTAGATGCCATTCCTCTTATGATGTAGCGAGTACATCGGCTGTTATGGGAAGTGTTCCCGGTTCCGGTTGACCTAATTAATGCAGTCTAGAAATCCTTTAACAGATTGAATTATAGAAATGCAATAGTGTGTTATGTGAATGCCAGGTTAAGAGATGGGTCTTTAGATTTAAACTGACAGAGTGTGTCTGCCTCAAAATCAATGCTAGGTAGATTGTTCCAGAGTTTGGGCACTAAATAGGAAAAGGATTTGCCGCCTGCAGTTGATTTTGATATTCTAGGTATTATCAAATGGCCAGAGTTTTGAGATCGCAGTGGACGTGAAGGACTATAATATGATAAGAGTTTGCTCAAGTACTGAGGTGCTAAACCATTCAGAGCTTTATAATTGACAAGATTTTAAAATGTATATGATGTTTAATAGGGAGCCAATGCAGTGTTGACAGAACCGGGTTAATATGGTTATACTTCCTGGTTCTAGTAAGAACTCTAGCTGCTGCATTTTGGACCAGCTGGAGTTTGTTTATTAAGCACACAGAGCAAACACCCAAACAATCATTACAATAATCTAACCTTGAGGTCATGAATGCATGAATTAACGTTTCTGCATTTGACATTGAGAGCATAGGTCATTTTTTTAATATTTTTAATATGGAAAAATGCGGTTTTACAAATGCTAGAAACATGACTTTCAAAGAAAAGGTTGCTATCAAATAGCACACCTAAGTTCCTAACTGATGGCAAAGAATTGACAGTACAGCCATCAAGTGTTAGATGGTGTTTTAAATTAAATAATTACATGCATAGGTTTTTTGGTCCGATAATTAACACCTGTTTTTTTTTCAGAATTAAGCAATAGGAAATTACTAGTCATGCAGTTTTTTATATCAGTTATGCATTCTATCAGTTTTGAGAATTGGTATGTTTCATCGGGCCGCAAAGAAATGTAGAGCTGAGTATCATCAGCATAACAGTGAAAGCTAACACCATATTTCTTGATGATATCTCCCAAGGGTAGCATGTAAAGCGTGAAAAGCAATGGTCCTAGTACTGAGCCTTGTGGCAGTATGCACTTATGCACTGCTACAAATTGATGACGGTCAGATACTGTAAGTATTATTTGAATGCCAACATAATTTTCTAGTCTATTCAAAAGAATGTTATGGTCGATAGTGTCGAACGCAGCGTTAAGATTCAGTAGCATTAATAGAGAGATACAACCACGATCGGATGATAAGAGCAGGCCATTTGTAACTCTGATGAGAGCAGTCTCTGTACAATAAGGTCTAAATCCTGACTGGATATCATTTTTCTCTAAGAAAGAACATAGTTGTGAGGAGACTACCTTTCCTAGTATCTTTGACAGAAAAGGGAGATTTGAGATCGGTCTGAGAGCTAATTCTCCAGGATCAAGTTGTGTTTTTTTTTTTAATGAGAGGCTTAATAACAGCCACACACACAGCCATTTTTGGCGAGTTATTTTATTTTGACAAAAGATTATGAATGTTATTTTTCCTGATAAATCATACACAGTAACACCAGCAATACAAAACATCAAAATAATTTAAAAAATAAAAAGTCAATGATGATAAATCATAATTATGACATTAAAGTCAAAATTGCTATATACACACACACACACATTTAGCAGACAATTTTATCCATATTTCATGGATATTTTAGAGAAGAGGTGTGTGTGTGTGTGTGTGTGTGTGTGTGTACCTGGTATTTATCACGTTATGGGGACCAAATGTCCCCACAAGGATAGTAATACTAGTAAATTTTGACCTTGTGGGGACATTTTTGAGGTCCCCATGAGGAAACAAGCTTATAAATCATACAGAATTAGTTTTTTTGAGAAAATAAAAATGCACAAAGTTTCCTGTAAGGGGTAGGTTTAGGGGTAGGGTTGGTGTAGGGCAATAGAAAATACGGTTTGTACAGTATAAAAACCATTACGCCTATGGAGAGTCCCCATAAACCATAAAAACAAACCTGTGTGTGTTGACCAGTGTACATACTCACTCTTGACTTACTCTTAATAGTCAGTCAAAGTTATGACTGAGGAAACCAGTATAGTCTATCTACAAAAACAATGCATGCACTGATCATTATTTTTCATGGCAAATTTCGATTGCCAATTTTTTACAAGCAAATGGACCGATTCTGATGGTGATTGCGGATTTTTTTAAGTAAGAGACAAGAAAAAATGAAAGACTATGTGAACAAGATGTTTATCTGCTCTATTACAGGCTGAACTGGCCTTAAACAAAAATATCTGTAGCCATTTAAAATTGGAGGCAACCACGGCTTTTAAAACACATTTCAAAAAAGATGCTACATACTGTACATGTAGCATGAGCAGTTTATTATTATTATTTATTTAAATTAAATTGTATAATTTCAAGATTATAACGGACAGAATGGTCTGATTTTAGCTTTGTGAAATTATGCTAAAAATGCAAATTCACTCTCTGACAGAAGGTGGCGCTTATGGAACAGCTGCAATATAATGTTTCCTTGGTCACCGCTGTAACCAAAGCAACGCTGTGCTTATAAATACTACTTTAATATGCATTATAATATGCATTAAATTATGAGATAAAAAGTTGCAATTGTGACATGAGTTGAAATTATGAGATGAAAAGTAGTAGGATCAGATTTTATTATGATACCAAATAGACACGCACAGATATGTACTACATATCACACATGAGACTGCCATTGTCAGAAGATGCCAGCATTCAATTCAGTAGGTTTTTTGACTATGAAAATCCATTGCCACCATGTGAGAAAAAAGCATGCTTTGGTAAATAGAAAAGTCATAATTATGGTGACAACGAGTGAGTCTTAAGAGTGAGTCATTAAATAATTATTCAAGTGATAAATTAAAAAAACTGATTCATTCAGGAATAAAACAAATATTAGCTGGTGACCAGTGAGCCTTATGAGTCATTGATTCATTCATTCCAACGATTCATTTAAAAAACAATGATTCATTCAGGAAAAAATTATCTTTACTAGTACCATTACTGTGTGTTGCTTGGGGACATGGAACAAACACGGACAGATAGGTAGCTGGTAATAAATACAACAGCACAATTGTGATGTTGATTCGATTATCAGCATGATTGCATGTGTGATATTGCTTTCTACAGTAACTCACAATATTGGTTAACTCACATTTTAGAGATAATATTAGGTTTTTCATATACTGTATATTTTAGTATATAGTAACAAAATGTATTGATTTTTAGACATCATGGTTCATCTCTAGGAAAATAACTTTTTAAAGAGTCGCATTTACAGGCTTCATTATGTCTCTGATTGGCGCCTGAAGGAGCCGTCTAAGTTTGTATTCATAACCAGCAGATGGCACTGTGTCGTCAGTGTGATATAAGTACATCCTGTTGCTCAGAAAGTATTGATCCAAGTGGACAAGAAGCCACATTTCAGAATTCATATCCTGCAATCACCAAAAACACTTTAGCTAGCTTTTCAGAAGTTCACCAGAGGAGAAATGTGGCGTTTTTTCTACTCACTTCTGCTTCTGGACTCTCCTCGGCTCGCAAAACTTGAAGGATGGTGCTCGTATCAAGTGCTTATCCTTGTGCTAAGAACATGAAAAGGCTTGTTCGAGCCATGTCACATCCTTCACATATCTCAATCTAGCCTGAAGAACTGCTGCTGCACTTCAAGAATTGAAGGCTATTTTTGTCTTAACAGAGTGTAGATCCTCATCATGACAAAACGCTGAAATCACTATCCGTCTGTTGTTTCTTGTCCCATGTTAATAGCTTCTTTTGACATCTATTGCAGTAATTTTCTGTTTATACTGAGGCTGGTCAACATCTTGTTGTTTTAACATGAATCAAATTCAAGAGATAAAACCTTATATGTTAAGTAACCTATAATGTTACATTCAGCAACCATATCTTTTATGTATAAGGATGACATTTTTATGTCCCATCTAAAAACAATAACAAACCCCCTCTTTTTAATATTGGCGAAATGGTTTCAGGTGGTTCAAATACCTTATTTCCCAATGCTGAACAAATGCTTAGGAATATAGCTAAT